GTCTTGAACCGCATGAGCCTGTGAGTAGCATTTAGCACTTTGTCCCTGACGGACTCAAAGAACGCGCTGTAGCCAAAGTGGCCCCCGTGGCGCTGCAGCAGTTCCTCCGCCTCAGCCTACCCGCACAGCAGCCCAGCAGCAGCACCAGCAGCAACATATAAAACAGAGGCTTTATCCCCAGTGAAATGACATGCGGCTGAAGGAGCGGCAAAAGTGAGGAAACAAGTGCAGCAAAAGCGTGGCTGAAGGTTCAGCAGCAGCATATGCAGCAGCAGTAGAGACGATATACAGCAGCGCTGCAAGGCCAGCAGCAGCAGCAGCAGCAGCAAAAGCTGCAGCAGTAGCTGCAGCAGCACTACTAGCCACTATTTGTAGCACACAGCCCCAGCAGCAACAGAACACCTGCAGCGCAGCAGCAGCATCCTTACTGCTGCTGCTGCCTGTATTTGTTGCTGCGAAAGAGCTCTGTCTGTTGGGTGAGCGGAAACAGAGTGCAGATGGCAAAGCAGACAGTTTAGTTCTTGTTTATTCAATAGGCCATCTCCGTCGACGTCGTACGCCCGGTACAGCAGCTGCAGACGCAAACGGCCTGCAGCAGCAACAACAACAACAGCAACAGCAGCAGTGAGGACGTAAAAGAGTCGAAACAAAGCGTTTCGAAGACAAATGGGAGCACCAAGCTGCTGCCAGAGGCATCTAGGAAGACAAATACGAAACAGTTAGAGCACCTCTCGCTCTGTTGATATCTTGAACGGCATTAGGGCAGCAGCAGAAGACGCCCCAGCGGAAGTCTCTCAGGGGGATTTTGCCTTTCTGCTTCCTGTCGATAGCCTGAAGCGAAGCAGCAGCAAACAGGCGCAGGCAACGGGAGGAGTGGGGCTGGCTCATGCAAGAGCAGCAGCAAAATGCGGTACAGTAGCAGCAACAGCAGATGCTGGTGCAGCAGCGGGTACAGGAAAGGCAGAGACAGCAGCAAACGCAGCATCGAGAAAACAGCAAGAACAATAACAAACAGCAGCCATTCCAGCGGCTACGGCGGCACATGTAACTGTCCAAGAAGCAACAGCTGTCCAGACCCTCGCCATCAACGCCGCGGCATTGCCAATGCCGCCCCGCAGCACCAGCAGCAACGGCAGCTCACGTCAAATAAGAAGTGCTGGTGCTCTACTTGCGCTAGGCAGTTCGGGTAGGCCCTAAATAAGGCGAGGAATTCCTCCCGGGTCATTCCGTCTCTGCGTAAAACAAATTAACGCGGCGAACGAATGCTACTGCTTTACACCAGCAGCAACTCGCACCAGCAACGGGGAGACAGAGCAGTAGCAGCAACAGCAACTCGCACTAGCAAAGGGCAGCAGCAGCAGCGGCGGCAAGGCAGGAGATGATGCTTCGAAAAACACAGAGGAGAGCGCGCTGACTACAGAAGATTTCTCGAATAGACGTCCAGAAGCAGCAGCTGCAGAAGCACGGCAGGCAGCAGCTCCAACAGCAGCGACAGCAGCAGCCATTGCTGCTCGCAGCTTACCGGGGGCAGCTTAAAGCGAACGCAGTGTAGAGAGCTGTCAGAGTCTGCACTACTTCCACGCAGCAGTCCTCTGCTAACATGGCGCCCCACAGCTGGCCGAAGGGTCTCCAGTGCCTGAAGGTCTCTAGCTGCGTTTTGTTGCTTGCAGCAGGTGCAGCAGCAGCAGTTCCTGCCGCGGGAACGGCACCGTCTGGGGCTTGAGCAGTCGCGGCGCTTTCTGCTCCAGCGTCTCCTGCTGCTACGGCGTCCCCTTTTGCTGCCGCAGCTGCAGCAGCGGCGTCTCGCGGCGGCAGCACACGCGCAGCCGCTCCGGGAACTGCAAAAGCGCCGACTGCAGCAGCAGCAGACCCGTCATGCACAGGCAGCAGCGTCGTCCCCTCCTCGTCGCCGTCTCCTGATGCGGCTTCTACCGCTGCAGCAGCGGCAGCAGCTGCTGCAGCAGGGGCAGCAGCAGCAACCTGCAGTAGGGCTCTCGCAGTCTCTCCGAGGTTAGAGAGAACAACAGCAGCAGCGCCAGGGGCAGCTGCCTCCTCCTTTGCTTTGCTGCCTTTGCCGTTGCCGCTGCTGCTGTTGCTTGTGCGCCGGCCTGCTCTGCACTGGCTGTGCTTGCGCAGCTTCTGCTGCTGCTGCTGCTTCTTGCGCCTCTCGCGCTGCTGCAGCTCCCTCTCTTCCTCCTCCAGCTGCTGCAGATACTGCATAAGCTTTGCTGCATCGTTGCTGCTGCTGCTTCTCCTACTGCTGCAGTCGCTGCTGCTGCTTCTGGCGTAGCCGTGCTGCGCACTTTGGCTGGCTCTCCTGTCTTCAGAGCTTCTGCTGCTGCTGACTCCGTTGGGGTGCCTTTGGACTGCAGCCTTTGCGTTTCTTTGCACGCGGCCTCTTAGCCTCTGAAGGCCTCCCGGTTGCTTCTTTTCGTTCGTTTGCTGCGCTGCAGTCTTTCCCGAGTTGTTGATCCCGGTGTCACTGTCTGTGTCCTGAAGCAAAGTGCTCCTCGACAACGCGCGGGGGCCTCCCAGCCCAGCCTGGGGGTGCCCCTGGGGCCCCTGAGCTTCTCCTGTGTTAATCAGGCGCTCAACTACTCGCCCTAACGCCGCCCCAACTGCTCCAAAGAGACTCTCCTGCTGCTGCAGCTGCTGCTTTGCGGGTTTGCGCTGCTTTTGCTCCTGCTCATGAGCCTGCTGTTGCTGCTGATGCGCCTGCTGCTGCTGCTGATGCGCCTGCTGCTGCTGCTGCTCCTTCAGACGGCTGCTGCTACTCCTACCACTGCCACTGCATCTCCTGGAGCTGCTGCTGCCCAGGGGCAAGCTATGCTGCGCTATGCTGCTGAAGGCTTCTTTGCTGCAGACAGCTTCCCTGCTGCTGGGGATATCTTTGCTGCTGGGGTCCCCCTTGTCCGTATCCGTTGCCGTGCTGCTGTAGCGCCGCATCAAGGAAGGGGTGCCACAGTTCCTTACAGCAGAGACTGCTGGCAGCCGCTGCTGCTGCTGCTGCTGAGGCTTCTGTTGAAGCTGCTCCTCCCCTTGCTCCTGGCACTGCTCCTGTTGCTGCTGCTGCCTCTGTCTTTGGTGTGGTTGCTGCTGCTGAGCGACGCCCGGCTCCACTGGGTGTCTTATGCTGCTTCTAGGAGTGTTGCTTTTTGTCTCCACTCTAGCCGCAGCCTGCCCCCACTGCTGCTGTTCTTGCTGTTGCTGCTGCTGCACTTGTATGCCTCTGGAATCCAAAGGGAGTGAGGGGGCCTCTATTAGGGGCCTCGCACGTTGAGGAGGAGCGTCTAGGGGCCCCTTAAGCCGCGTTTGCCGCTGCTGCCGCCTCTGGTGCAACTGCTCCTGCTGCTGTTTCTCAAAGGGTAACTGAGGCTCTACAGCCACAGCTGGCGCTGCAAATAGAGGGCCAGCGTCTGCAGTAGTTGGCTCGCTGGAAACAGCGTTTTGCTGCTGATGCTGTTGCTGCCGGCGCTGCTGGTGCTGTTGCTGCAGTGGCTGCGGCTCTTGCTGCTGCTTTAAACCCGTAGGCCGTCGCAAGCTCTTTAAGGTGCTGCTGCTCCCGTGTCGCTGTTCGGCAGCTGCGAAATCAGGGTCACTCTGGGCAGCAGCAGCAACACCTGGCGCTGAACCTTTGTCGTACTGCCGCTGCTTCTGCAGCAGAATCGGCTGCTGCTGCTTCATCGGGGCACTGGGCCCGAGGAGAGTGGCTGGAAGAGAAGGATACGCTGGTGCATCTCGGTCAAGCGCCTGAGAGTGGAGGCTAACAGGGGCCCCCGCTACCCCCATGAGGGCCCCTGAGGGCCCCCTAGCGGCTTCTGTGGAGTCCCTTTTAAAGGAACTCTGCGGCATATAGAGCGTGCTGATCTGAGCAGCAGCCAGCAGCTCTGCTGGGGGCGGGGGCGGGGGCGGGGGCGGCGGTGGAGGGGGGGCGAACGGCGGGGGGGCCCCAAGGAAGGGCCCCTCAAAAGGAGAAACCTTTCTTGCAAAGCCACAGTGCCCACTGGTCACTGCAGCTGCAGAGGAGCTGAAGGGCTGCAGCGGCTGCGCCGGGGAGACCACAGCTGCAGCAACAGCAGCAGAAGCAGCCGCCCCAGGCCGAGCACCTTCTGTAGGAGCTTTGTTTATTTTATCCGTTATTTTGGCACTTTGCCTTGCAACCAGGCGAGTAAGCCTAGGGAGCGCGGCGTCCGTGGATAGCCTCTCGCCACTTTGGGAGCCCTTGGGCGGGCCCCTTTCCTCATACATTTGGCCCGGAGGGCTGGGTCCCCCGCAGGTGAAACTTGGGTCCAGGCTCTGTCGGGGAGACCTTCAGATACTGTCAAACCACTGGGCACCAAACTACTGGACCACCACAGGGGTACAAGTGCGTGTGGCCGGCCCCAAAGCAACAACGGTCCTCTTGGGCCCCTTGGGAGAGTATGACGGGGTGGAAAGCAAGGGCCGCCGGTGAACGTGAGGCCTTACGTTTGTCTTACAGAGAAGCAGATAGAGCCCTAAGTTCCTTCAGAAACCCCAAAGAGCCTACGGGGATCTCAGGTGACATGGTGGCCCTTGGCTTGCGTGTTGCGGTCTGCCAAGCCCTTGGGCGTCCGCTAGGGTGACCCTCGACGTTGCGAGGGGAGTGACAAAATAAACAGATTTTCTAGTTAATAGAATTAAACGGAGGAAAATAACAAACGGTGAAAATTCGAAGGAAGAAACGAAAATGGAGAGGCCATTGAAATGCTTTCGGCCGTCGCTCCAGCCGGGGCGCCTGGGGCATCTGCTGCGAATTTCCGCCAAATTCTGCCTTTGGTTTGATTTAAACAAAGTGGGCTATAGATCAACCACCTTAACCTGCAGCGGCTCCTGCTGCGGCTGCGGCTGCGGCTGCTGCAGCAGCAGCAGCTAGGCCGCTGTGGTTCTCGTGGTCGAACCACCAGCCCACCTCTGCAGCATTAGGGGGCTGTTTTGCCGGTTTTGTTTTATTTTTAAAGTTTCCGAATTTATTGAAATACCTTTTCTTACAACTTGCCCCTCTTTAGCCAGAATGCCATAAACGCAAAAAGCAAAGCCAGTGGGGAGGCCGCAGCAAAATGTCTGTGAGCCTACCTGCTGCGGAGGCCCTCACCCGTGTTTCCTGCGCACTTCTCCGTTTACTTTACCCAGGCTATTTTAAGTCTTTAATGTATTTCAACTAATTATTTGCTTTAAATGAAGCCCCTAGGTTTTTTGGAGGCAGATGCGATGCTGTACTTGGTGGTTCTGGGGTGGGGGCTGGCGGTCACCCAGAGGCCCCTACCTGCAACACAGAGGTGCTCCTGTTTCTTCCACATTTTGCCCCTTCTGAATTATTCATTTGCTCCCCAAAAATTGTAGCAGCTCTCGCGCGAAATTTAGGCATAGGATTCGCGACAAACTAGGGAGGTGTTCAGCGCGCTTGCTCTTCAGGAGAGGAACTACGTGGCGTTCCGGTGTAGCGCTGCGGTTTCCGTTTCAAGAAGCCATTCTGCATGAATGCACGTGGTTGGCCCATCCTCTCTGTTTAAAGGTATTATCCAAGTGGCATAATGGCCACTTTAGTCTCTTTTGCGGGACATAACCGGCGATACGAACCATTGCTTCTGGTGGTGCTGCCTCTGCGGCGGCTGCAGGTGGCTTTTGGCTCAAGTTCGAAAACTTTATTGCTAAGGAAACTTTATTTCCTCCATCCAGCTTTTACGTTCTCTATTTGCCCTGAGTCTGCTCGCTTCCTCCCCTAGTGCATGGTGGAGGCCGCAGGTCGCCTGGTCCTCGTGCTGCAGAACTTCGTCAATACAGAGTTTGCTGCTGCATAACTTTGTCTTATTTCTTTGAGTCGCAGTCACTTATCTTGTCAGCTAAACGCCTCCAAGCCTTTGAACAACAATGACTTTGCGGCAGTTGCAGGGCGAAACGGCTTTGTAGCGGAATGAATTCTCACTGAAACACGTTGAATTCATACACGAACAGAATGAGTTACTTTTTACACGAAAATGCTCACGTTCGAGCGAAAACAATTTAGTATTTACCGAGACATATTTGCAATGAAGCTGATTACACTGATACGTAAAGGAGAAGTTCACTGCGATGATAACATGCCATGTTCCAGAGGTCACTATCTGCGTTAAATCCATTTGCTGCCCTCTTCGTCCGCGGCCGCCTCCTGCTGGAGTTCAACTTCACGAGCTGCTGCGCGGCAGGCACTAGGAACCAACTGCGTCCCCACAGAATCGCTTATTGCAAAGTGCAGGCAGATATCTTAGCGAAGGACAAGAGGCGAGTGCTACAGCTATGTGCTGATGCGTATAAAAGGGTACATATCGCACACATACACACATCATAACATATCGATATGTCTACAGACACAGAGGGCCCTTCTGCTGAGCCGCAGCATATGAGGGTGATGAGGGCGAACCCAGGGAAAACTCCCAAAGTTGCTCACGAGGGCCATGAGAACGATAAATGCAGCAGAAAAATGGAACTCTGCAAGCTGGCTAAGTGCAGGACTAACGAGCCGCTTCGCAGTCCCTTGTGGGGCTTCTTTGGCTGCAGGCTTCCTCTTTTGCAAGTCATTTTTAGATGAAGTGCCCAATGCCGCGGAGAGCTTTAGCTTGCTGGGTCGCTTGTAGAGCCGCAGCTAGCTGGACAAAGACTTTTCTGCCCGCTATTCACTAGCGCGCTTTTGTTTGTTCTGGCTTTTGAAGCCGCCAAGTGCGCAATTTTTGAACAGAGGCAGCAGGCGATGCTTGATCGCCAGTTTGATGGACTTGAATTTGAAACGAAAAAGCTCACTATTTAAATTCAGCTCGAGTCACTTCCCATGCATACGAGGTCCTTCATTCAAAGTACCTAGGAGGGAAAGCGGATGAACAACCAGAAAGATTTCACAAAATGCTATTAACTTCTTTTGCCAGAGGAGTAAACATGCGTCAGCAACGTTCCCAATATATCCATTCATTCATAGCGCCCACCAGCGCCTCAGCACGTCCAGCGAGTAACAAATTCGAGAACGTAGCTGGAATCTGCTGAGGAATCTACTGAGTCTGCAGCTGGCTGTGCAGCGCTGCGGCATTCAAGCATCCCGAAGAGGACAAGCTTGGCCTCATACACCCTTACGACTGCTGCTCAGCCCTGCCCCCGCAGCACTGAGGCACGTTTTACCTAGAAGCCAAAATAGCCTAAAAATTAGGGAGCAGCGAGGCCAGGCTAGCCGAGACCGCACAGCAGCAGGGCGTCCGCTGCAGCAAAGCTCTTACAGGTGGCGCAGTATGCCTGCAAGGACCTTGGGGACATTAATGCTAACGGAACAAGTCAAAAACGGATGAGGCTTGACGGCGTGGCTAAGTGCTGAGGCCTGCTGCCGCTGCCGTCGCTAGTGAGCGGCTGATAACTGTGAGCTTGTTCCATATACAACGCAGCGAAATTTGTCGGTGACACGGCAGCGTACAAGATCTGTGCAGCAACCTGTAGAAAGGAGCATCCAGCAGAGCAGTGATTATGAAGACGCAGGAGCAGCAGCGGGAGAACAACACCAGCAGCAGCGATAGCAAAAGCCTCTGCAACCGGAGAAACAGCAGCAACCGCAACAGCAACAGCCCCAGAATTATAGGAAAAAGAGGGGTAGCGGCAGTAACGGCAGGGGTAGCTGCGGCAGCAGCAGCAGCGCCAGAAGCGACAACGGGAATCCAGAACACTAGCAGCTGCAGCAGCAGGCGGGACCAACAGTTACGGCCAGTCTACATCGCTGTCCGTTTGGCTTCTGCTGGCTGCCCGTCGCACCTATGCCATGGCTTTAGCTACTTTTGTTTGTGTTGAATGGCTCCTTAGGAAACCGCTGCGCGTCAGCGGCACATAACCTCAGCAGAACAGAAACAGGACACTACCTCGACAACAGACCAGCAACACATGACCTCAGCAACGCAGCAACGGCACAGAAACTGAGCAGCATAGTATATCCGCAGCACAGTTGAGACTGTTCTGCTGTCCCATGTGCACTACTGGACGCGAAACGCCAGCCACCAGCACCAGGGACGCTGCAGGTGACCAACCTTCAAGCCAGCAGCATGAAGTCCAAAGCAGAGGTGGATTGAGCTGCCCTCACACATGTTTGAGACTGGAACATTAATCGTTTATTTAACCCTTCAATTACATACTCAGCATGTATCTGGTTTTGTGCGATGTGCACATCATAGGTTGACAGTTTGTTAACTCCAGTGGTCGAGTTGGGGCTGGCACAGCCTCTGGGCGAAACCCTCTTATATTCTCCATGTAAAGTGCTTCAATGCCTCTGATTGGCTTATCTTCTAAATTACTTTTCTTTGTTGCGTGACTAAAGCGGCAGCCGGGGGAGAACAAGCACTTGGTGCCACGGTAGTAAATCGCAGCCACCACTACTCAAGGCAGACTCCAGCACCACTCGCCAAAGCACCTTTGGTAGCTGTTGGCTGCAGCAACAGTTGTTCTCCGTTCTAGTTTTGCAACTGCAAACAAATTCATGTTTTTGACCTTGGAGTGACGACAAAAAGGGCAGATCGACCCCCCTGCAGCCACCAGGGAGGCTCTGTCGAGAGAGACTTGTGCGGTGACACACAAGCGCACTGTGTTGTTTACTTCATGCACATATTTTCTGGTTCTGCCAATTTGATCTTTCGTCTTCTCCAATTCGCCGTCTTTACTTCTGCCCTGGGGCTGACCAAAAGGCCAAGAGGCGAAGATCTCCGTGGCCAGCAGCCGACTCGCCACAAACGGAGCTCCACGCTGAAAAGGTAATTGGACAATCAAAATAGGATCCGCAGCAAATGCAATTAGTGCAAAAAACATAAGGACTAGAAATAGTCTCGTGTGTGCAACTGCGGCAGATACAACGGAGAGAAAGCCACGCATGAGCAGCGGCAGAAGCGCCACCCGTAGCAGCATCAGCTGCAGAAGTAGCTCTACGCCCATAGGGAACCGACTGTAACTGCACAATCCACAAAATAAGCAGCGGGAGGAGTAACTGTGGTGTGCCCTCGCCGCATAACAAGCCACTGCCGCAGCCATTGACACAGCACCATCGGTCGCCGAGGAGTGTGTCATTCTTTTTACCGACTCCGAAGGTGTTGATACATTAAGGCAGCCTTAATGAGTTTCGCTTTACCTGTTCCGCTGTGCTGCTTCCGCAGTGGTTTTCAGATGCCCAGCGACCATCTTTGTAAGCTCCGGCAGCGAGTAACGGCAGCAGTAGCAGCAACAGCAGCAGCAACAGC